TAAGTAGGGAACAAACTGGAGAGAATCAATATGATTCAGAGACAGACTACATGGAGAGGGTGGACAGGAGAGAAGAGCTGAGGGCTGACAGAGCTGTTGCTAGCCCAGAGTTCAATTTGCCTTTGCAAATTGGAAAACCATCCCTGATAGGGCACACAGCTTGAAAAGCAGACATCAGGATACATATGAGCCCCAACTCATCAATACACCTACAGAACTCTCCATGGTTCCTGAAGAACCTGGTCCTTAGATCACCAGCATAAGAGTCAGCCGAAATTCTTGTTAAAATTCAAATTCCTAGTCTCAACCCTAGATGTCTAATGAATAAAAATCTCTGGGAGGTCAGGCCTGGCGTTCCACATGAATCAAGGATGAAGGAAATATAAAATGCATGTGTATATGGGAGAAGATTAATTTAGCTCAAGAAACTTCGGCTCAACACCTGAAAAATATTTACATGGAGAGGCCAACAGGTAGGATATATGAGTCTGGTGCTCAGAATAAAGATTTGGCCTCACAGTTTAAGTTTGTGGAGTTCCAGCTTAACTTTATCAGCTTACAGAAGTACAGTTGAAGCCACGGTATAAAAACAACACATAAAAAAAAGAGGCCAGGATTGAGGGAGTTGAGTATTTTAACAAAGAGGGAAATGTTAAATGTCAGAAAATTTGAAAATTACAATAACATGAACCTGTTTATTGCCCAGATAGCTCTAGGTGATCACTGGTGAGAGCAAAAGAGGCTGGCAAATTAGAGGGCACTGAAGAATAGCTGGGAGGAGAAATAATAAGAGACCCTAAATGAACCGCTCTTTAAAGAACTATGGCTTAAGGAAAAAAGGGAAACTTTTTTTCCTTGACTTTTTCTTTCTTTTGTATATGGAGACATGATCATTTCTGATATGCTAATCATTCCTTTAGCCAATCTGCCAGGTTACATAGAAAATAATTTTACGTTGGCAAGCTGATGAGTTAGTAAAACAAATGGAGGAGAGAGTAAATAGGTGAATTAACAAGAGTGGGAGGCTGGGCGTGGTGGCTCACACCTGTTATACCGGCATTTTGGGAAGCCAAGGTGGGTGGATCACCTGAGGTCAGGAGTTTGAGACAAGTCTGGCTAACATGTTGAAACCTCATCTCTACTAAAAATACAAAAGTTAGCCGGGTATGGTGTTGAGTGCCTGTAATCACAGCTACTTGGGGGCTAAGGCAGGAGAAGCACTTGAACCCAGGAGGCAGAGGTAGCCGTGAGCCAAGATCGTGCCACTGCAGTCTAGCCTGGGCAACAGAGCAAGGCTCCATCTCAAAAAAAAAAAAAAAAGTAAAAAGAAAAAAAAGAAGAGGGGGAGATAGAAAAGGCAGAGGCTGTAAGAAGTATGGAACTAAACTGTTCCATACTCAGTCTCAATGGAGAATTCTGAGATTTTACTTACCAGAATATCTATGACTGATATTTATCCAACACATTTTGTTAATAAATAACCTGGTAACCTAAAACTGAATTTTCTGGAGAACTTTCTAATATGTAGGAATTATATTTTATCTATACTGCATTTATTCTAGTATACAGTACAAATAAAATTGATATAGTTTGGATTTGTGTTCCCACCCAAATATCATGTCAAATTGTAATATGCAATGTTGGAGGGGGGCCCTGGTAGGAGGCGACTGGATCATGGGAGCAAACTTCCCCTTGCTGTTCTCACAATAGTGAGTCTCACAAAATCTGGTTGTTCAAAAGTGTGTAACACCTCCCGCTTCTCTCTTCCTCCTCCTCCGCACATGTAGTATGTGCCTGCTTCCCCTTCACCTTCTGTCACGATTGTAAGTCTTCTGAGGCCTCCCCAGCCATGCTTCCTATACAGCCTATGGAACAGTGATCCAGTCTCAGGTAGCTCTTTATAGCAATGCAAGAACAAACTAATACAGAAAATTAGTACTGGGAGTGGGGCATTGCTATAAAGATACCTGAAAATGTGGAAGTGGCTTTGGAACTGGATAATGGGCAGAAGTTGGAACAGTTTGGAGGGCTCAGAAGACAGGAAGATAAGGGAATGTTTGGAACTTCCTAGACGCTTGTTAAATTGTTGTGATCAAAATGCTGATAGTGATATGGACAATGAAGTCCAGGTACAGGTGGTCTCAGATGGAGGTGATAACGTTATTGGGAACTGGAGTAAAGGTCACACTTTTTTTTTTTTTTTCTCTCTCTCAGGTTGTCCCAGGATCCGCTATTGAGGCTAAGCAAAAGGGAGCTGCTATGCAATTTCAGGATCAGCGTTGACATCTTCACCTGTGCTTGCACTGCCTGCTTCCACTCACTCATAATCCTATTCTCTCTCTTGAGAGAAAGGCTAATCAGCATAAATATGCTAGTCTGCATTACTTGGATGATGGAAGGACAGAGAGCAGTGTTAGAATCACTATTTCACTGCCAGCTGACATCTGCACGGTTCTTCTGGGTAAGGACCAGCAACAAGACTGTCTTGCATGTGTCGTTTTTCTTCCTAGTTCCTCCCATCTCTCTGATTAACATCAATCCAATAAAGATTTCTCAAAACTAGATTATGTTGGCAGTTAGATTACAATCTATATGGAAATGGCATCACTCCACTCTCCTAGGTCATCAGAAAGGAGTATTTCTGGATAGTTCATAGAATGTATATTCATTAAATATCATGAGTAGAAATTATTTAAAAATTAAGCATGTCTTAGGATTCAAAATTTAGTCTTTGTGTGAATATTCACATTTATGTAATTCATTTCCAATCTCGCCTAAGTTACTTAATAGCTCCTAAATTCCTAACAGTCTATATCGTTTTCTTTGGAAGCAGAAATTTAGGCACTTAGTTTTTTGGAATCAGAGACCCTGGGTCTCTAAGCTTTTTGATTTTTGGAATAGTTACCCAGACTTTCTGCTCACTTTCCTTATTCATCAAACTGGGATAACACAGCACCTACTTCATACAGTTGTATTAAGAATACAATTAAAAACTGCATGTAAAGTGTGCAATACCTGGTAAACAATATCCAACTAATATTCAGGTAAGAGACTTACCTAAAAGTATAAATTCCCTAAATATTTACTAAGCATCAGGTGGACTAGTTTCTTTCAACTATTTTTGTCTTCTTTCTTCACAGACCATTACCATTTGCATGTAATAAGAAAAATTACTCTTTTAGTGTCTATTATACTTCATAAAGGCAAATAATCCTTTCTGGACAGTTGATGTCTCTTTATCAGGTCTCCAGTAACCGTTATAAGTTATTTCAACATGAAAACTGTATCTTTGAGAATAATTTTGATCCAAGTAGTAAAGACTTTCAATCTAGATTTACATTGTTTTCATATACCTCATAAAACATTTATTTTCATCTTTGTCACACTATTGGGATAAATGAACTATGGTTTTGAACTAGAATGTCATTTGTATGTATTCAATAAATCATTTAAATTTATAATTATGATATTCTTATTAATAGGATATTCTGGGTTATATACTCTGCTTGTTTTCAACTTTAAATCACTGATTTAAAGAACATATTTTTATCGATCGCTGATTTTAAAAGCACTCAAGACCATCATAATGAACATATACTCATCTGCTGCAGAGGATAAAGCTTCACAACCAAACATGATCTAACCTTTAAATGCACCCTAGACTTTAGAATTAGAAAGCCTAACAAAGTTAGGTAGGGAAAAAAAAATGAGCCTACCGTCATTAAGACAGGGATAAAAGTCTGTAACCTGCTCCTTATATATGGGCTGTTAGTTAAATCACAAGTCTACCAGATATTGTTAGCCTAGTTTCAGTTCTTTTTCTTTAAAAATATTCTATTATTTAAACTTATCACCAATTAAGCCTACCTTCTACTCTTACCCATCCCTACTCCTGTTCAAAAAAAGTATTACTACCAGGACCATTTTTCAAGTGTTCAAACTAAGTGACATTAAAAGGCAGTTAAGGAAAAATACTAACCCCGAGCCTTTATTTTCAAGTTGCTATGGTCTGAATGTGTCCCTCAAAGCTCATGTTTTGGAAACAATCCTTAAAGCAACAGTATTGGGAGATGGGGTCTCATAGGTGATTAGGTCATGAAGGCTCTGACCAAATGAATGAAGTAATGTCATTATTGTAGGAGTGAGTTAGTTATCTTGAGATAACTTTTTATAAGAAACCACTTTTTTGTTATAAAAGTGAGTTTAGCTCTCTCTCTTGACTTCCTGCCTTCTGCCATGGTGTGATGCAGCACGAAGGCCCTCACCCAAATACAGGGCTAAGAAATGAATCTCTGTTCTTTATAAATTACCCAGTCTCACATATTCTGTTACCGCAGCTCAAAATGGACTAAGATAAGTATACTAAAGATCACCAAGCTAAAGTTCAGAATTCCAGTTAGGCTTCATATTTCAAAGTGCAACTTTTAGTTAATATATGATGTTTGCCATTACAGGGTGGGAAATGAAAGAGGCTAATGCCAGATTTAAGTAGTTCTTTATAGCTTCCTGATCCCAAGTGGTGGGCCCCTTTACTTAAGCGTAAAAATTTTATTGTGTCAGAAGCAGGACATAGAGGGACAGTTTACGTCCTCTTCAAGTCATAAATAACCAGTTCTAACTTCCAAATCAAATCAAGAATTTCATATTCAGATTCAAATTGGTCCCTGACTACTGACCACAAACAGCATGTGGTAAAGACACAGAGAATCAAGGAACAATAAAATTAAAAGTAGGCACCTACGACTTAACCAAGATTACAGATATTTTTCTTGTTGGTAAGATTACTAAGGAGCTGAATTTGGGTTTCCTTCTAGATTTCAGAAAGGTTCCTAGAAAGAACTAATTGAGAGAAAGTAGTCCAAGAGGAACTACACAGAAAACAGCCAGATATATACTCACTCATCAACTAGCAAGGTCAACTTACACTGAAAACTTTGTTTGGTACCGGCTGAATATCTCTTACCTGAAATACTTGAAACCAGAACTGCTTCAAATTTCAGATTTTGGAATATTTGTATTATACTCACTGGTTGAGCATTCCAAACCAAAAAATCTGAAATCCGAAATGCTCCAACGAACATCTCCTTTGAGCATCATGTAGATGTTCAAAAAGTTTTAGATTTTGGAACAGTTTGGATTTTGAATGCTCAACCTGTATAAAAGGAATTGGTCCAATTTTATAAAAACGTTTTAGCCAGGTATCAGGTGATACACATCTGTAATCTCAGCTTCCTGGGAGACTGAGGTGGGAGAACTGCTTGAGGCCAGACTAAGCAACATAGTGAAACCCTTATTTAAAAAAAGAAAAAAAAAAAAAAAAAAAGCTAAACTAGAATTCAGCTAAGCTAGCTTTAAAAAAAGTTTTCTTTATGGAAAAGAAAGCAAGTCAATTATAAGGAGAGAGAAATGCTCTAAGAATTATTTGCACACAATTCTAGCGCAAGATGAAAACCGACAGTATGAATCAACAGTATTGGAGCCCTGGATCTTTTCTTGCTTAGGTCTCAGTTTGGGCTTTGTTACCTTACAGTTGAGTTTCATTATGGCTCATAACCACCCTGGCCTACCTTCTTCTTTGCATTCCTTAGGGAATGGTAATGAGTTGGTCATTAAATATCTTTAGAGATTTCAGCACATTGAACTAAGATGCATATTGGAGTATTTGGTCATTAATATGTATGAAAAGTTTATAGTGTCTTAGGGCCAAGGGCAGGCCGTATTTGGGAAGTTTATGCATCTGTCTCCTAATCTGAGAAGTAGACAATTTATTTTAATGGCGTATTAGTCCATTCTTGTATTGCTATAAAGAAATACCTGAGACTGGGTAATTTATAAAGAAAAGAGGTTTAACTGGCTCACAATTCCACAGGCTGTACAGGAAGCATGGTGGCATCAGCTTCTGGGGAGGCCTCAGGGAACTTACAATCATAGCAGAAGGCAAAGGGGGAGCGGACACTTCACAGGCTAGAGTAGGAGGAAGAGAGTGAGGGGGAGGTGCTACACACTTTTAAACAAGGAGATCTCATGATAACTCACTCACTCACTGTCATGAGAACAGTACTGAAGGGATGGTGCTAACCCATTCATGTGATGTCCACCTCCATTGTCCGCTCACCTAATACCAGTCTGTGCTTAGAACACTGGGGATTACATTTCAACATGAGATGAGATCTGGGTGGCAACACAGATTCAAACCATATCAAATGGTGAATTATAGGTTAAAAAAAAAAATCAACCTTGTGAACATTTAAAAATATCTGAGTCCTGAAAGTGTGTTTCTCGGGTCCTCAAAGCTTAACACCTGTGGCTTGGAAGTATATAAAATTTAGGCTCCTCTTTCCTTTTCATTATTGTAAAGTCACAGAAAAAGCCAACTTAGAGCCATGCCCGGAATACAAAGTCTGTTCAACAAGATTAGATTGTCTTTTGTTATTTCTTTCTTTCTTTGTCTTCATTTTATAAATATATGCATGCCCACAGCTTTTAAACAAGGGGCTAGTTGATTAGGAAACCAGTGTTGATTTGATGTAAGCAACAATCCTAAAAGTAGAAAATATTATTTTTGTTTACTACAAATGTATGGACTCAAAACCAGCTGAACTGTTATTATTCCCCAAGAAAATTTATTTTTACTCAATCTCTTTTCAGAGTGCTTAGAGTGAAGTTAGCAATTAGTAAGCTAAGAAATCAGACAAGAGCTATACTACCAAGCTACAAAAAAATTACACTAAACTACTAAAGTTAAATGTCGTTAAAAAGTCCCTCTTACATTCTGGTCTATTGACAGGCATTGTGTTGGGAACTTGGTAGAGGAAAGAAAACTCCAAAAACATTTTAAAAGGTTTACGGACAAAAATATACCTTGTAATTTTTCCAGTATGTAATTATTATCACTTTTTTCCCCACTGATTTCTAAAGATCTGTATACTGATATTAAAAACTAAAATTTTGTGCAATTCAAGATGTTCATTTCCCTTTTCTACAATCTTACTGTAAACAAAACCGTTGTGATACATTAGCTCATCACTGTAGTAAAAATGAAACTGTATTTGTGAGAGCTAAGAACTGACACTAGGTAGACATTATCTGACTCTACTTTTTCTTATAAAGATTAAATTGATATTTTAATCTATAAAACCTTGACAATACATAGGTTATTAAATGAAATAGTTCTAATTCAAATTGAGAATTGCCTTTTTACATTGAAGGGAACTATAATTTCAAAAACAAAGGACTTATTCCAGGTTCACATACTGAGATATTATCAGAGCGGAAATGTTAAGAGATAGTACCTGAGGAAATGTTTGTATATTCTCTTTATAATGACTAAGAACCAGTTAAAAGGCTTATTTTAAAAAGTTAGAAAAGCCATTAAGAAATTTTAGGGTGCAGTGGAAAAATTCTACCACGGCATGAACTCCATTAATGATGATTTGCTAGGCAACACTGGTTAGAAAAAGCTGGCTGACAGAATAGCAAGGATAACCAATTAGAATTAAAACATCAGCCCTACTGATGTAAAATAACTATTGACAGTAGATCAATGGTATTAAGATCACATATACTTGAATCAGATTGCCAGGCTTTAAACCCAGGACTGTCAATGATGAGCTATGTGACTTTAAACTGTATTTCTTAGGTTTCCAATGTTGGGTTCTATCACATTTAAAATAGATAATGACGGTAGTCATTCCAAAGCTATCTTGAGTTAAATAAGATAATCCACATAAGGGATTTAGCACAGTGCTGGGCACATTAACAACAGCTTGCCATCACCACTACAGCAACCCTAGGCAGTCCAACTATCTGGCTGTTTCCTTAAATGTAAAAATACTAGATAATTTCTAATGTTTTTAACCATCTAAAATTAAAATTCTACAATGTATCAACAAAATAGAAACCAACTCTATTTCCAAAGAACATAAATTTAGATTTTCACTCTAGCATGATTAATATAAGTACTGGAAAAAAAACATTTTAGAGTTATCCTTTTATTTTTATTTTTTAGAGACGGGGTCTTGATTAATATAAGTACTGCAAAAGAAACATTGTAAAGTTATCCTTTTATTTTTATTTTTTATTTTTTAGAGACGGGGTCTTGCTATGTTGCCAAAGCTGGATTTGAACTCCTAGGCTCAAGCAATCCTCTCGCCTCAACCTCTGGAGTAGCTGAGACTGTAGGGAATATATACACTACTGTTCCTGTTATGTCATCTTTTGAAATTAGTTATAATCACCACATTTATTAAAGCCAAAGTTATAGACATCCTATGTAATCCACAGGAAATCCATAATTTTCCATCACATACTGTTTGGTGACTACAAAAATTTCTGAATAACAAGTCCTAACAGGAATTTCAAGGTATATAATCCCCCCAGTATGTATTTTTTAAACTCTAAGAACATTTCATACCCTAAACTTAGTAAACAGAAAATAAAGATCATGAAAATTTCGAATATATAATTCAGAAAAAGGGAAATAACTGTTTTCAAATTGTCCAAAATCTAGAGGTTTAATAAAGTCTCTCTACTGATACATTACAACTCATAATTCAAATTACAGGCCAAGTTTTTTTTTTTTTTTGCAGGGATATTAAGTTTTTTTTTTTTTTAAATATGACTCAAATAGCTAAACAAAAAATAAATAAATAAATTTTAATATGACAGCACTAACTGCACCAACCCAAATAAATACTTCCAAAAAGGCTTGATTTTTTCCTTTTGGATTTGGAGAATTTTTCTTCATATATTTTAGGGACACTATTAAAAAAATACTAAAAACCTTTTCAGTTTTTAAAACTTTCTAACAGTGTGTGTGATCACTGAAAGGAGGTTAATCTAAAAATTTTAAAATATTTTACCAGCTAAGATGGTACTGCTCAGAAAAGAGTTCGGGCTCATCTCACTCAAATACTTGCTAACAGGCTCGAAAGAATAAAAAAAATTGTTGTTACTTCTTAATATGAAAAACACACGTCTGCTAAAATCTGACAGTTCAATAAGCTCCCAAACCAGAAAACACATTTCCCAGTCAACACTCATACTTATTTCTGTATTAGGAAAAATCGGGTTGTTTCAGGGGTCTTTAAAAAACGAAGATTTCTCTTAAACTCATAACTGTTAACTGTACCTTCATTTCCAGAAGCCTTATCTTTAACAAATCTCTACACTATTCATACTTAGCACATTTCAAATCATTCAAGATACTTTTATTTTACCTTATAACCAGTTCAGTATAAAGCAGCTGTGTTAAATTCATGCCATAAAATCAAAACTATATTGTGTCCTTACCCTCAATATTTAGCTCAAAACAAATGTGGCAGAAGGAGAGTGTTTCTTTGTCTGTTCCCAGTTTACAAACACTGCAAATGTTGTCATCATTCAAATCAATGTTTACAAACTGCTCCTCTTCGTTCATAGTTCCCCTATTAAGAAACAGAAAAGTATAGTTACACCATTTCAAGAACCTGCCTTTAGGGTAGTTCCCTTAACTGGGAACTTCTAGGAAACAAGGATGCTGTTCAGCTCATCTAAAGAAATGCCCCATCAAACAAGCATCGCCATTCTTGCACTTCAACATTGCACTTTGTGGGAAGACACAAAGCTAGTAACACTTAAAGCCAGGCCATAGGTGACACTATGCCTGTGTCTTTTTTGTTCTATAGTTGAAGCGGTTTGTGGGCATTCTAGTCCTCCTCCTTCGTCCGCCGACATCGAATAATCAGAGAGCTTGGCAGCGAGGCCTTTTCAAGCTACCAGGTCTGTCAACCTAGTTAACGCTGTGAGAAACAGGGAAAACGACCTGCACAGGACACTGCCAACTTCACTGGGGGAACCTTAGATGCGTCTCGCGAACTCGGAGTTGCGAAGCTTCGCATCGGACGGAGGTCGGCAGCAGAAAAAGGCACGTGGGTACCGAACACCCGAGGAGGGCGTCCCCGTCCGGGGCAACTACACCGAAGGCCGAGCTGCGGCTTCACGGTCCGGGCACCGCCAGAGGGGCCCAAGCCGGAGCTGGGGGAGCCGCGGACTGGAGCCCAGCGGGCGGGAGCGCCTGGTCCCATTGCTCTGGGATTCCTCCCTAAGGG